TAAGTTAAGAGAAGGTCGGAAACTCCAGATTCGAGCCTACCAGCAAGGGATTCATTACCCGAGCCGTTGTGAAAACAATTGGCCAGACAATTAAAAAGGACTTTTATCACTATTTCACGTTTGTATTAAGCTTCCAAATGAGACCGACCCCAAGTCTCTAGCCCTTCCCGTTCATGAAATATCTATCGGGAAACGAGCGAATTCGTGCTAAAAATCCTTGGTAGACAGAATTGCGGCACAACGATTCGGTACGTAAACATAGACTAATACATGTTTGTCAGCTGAGTACGGGTCAAAATCACTTTAATTTACTAAATAATATTACTAAATACATTAAGTTGGACCACGCACAAGGGTCAGTAGCACCTAATACACACGAGATTCGAGTTTCAAACATTTACACGGTCTTTCAATCACTTTCTACGCCATTATGCATCCTTGTGTGAAACGTTGCGGTTTCTTTGCCATTGGCCAATCAGAAGACTCGTTTCAAAATATCGAATAGCTGATTAACAATAGCGTTGAAAGGAATCTAAATACTGTGGAAAGGTTTGAAATTCGAATTTTACGTGTATCAGATGCTACTGACGGGTGTGAGTGGTCCAACTTAATGTATCCCAGGTCCGATACTCGTGCCTGTGAATTTTTCTACTCCATTATGAGAGTTTCAAACATATATACATTTTTGTATGTCTTTTCTCTTATCCACATTTGATTCTTGTTCAAGTATAATACTGCTGATTTGTCAGTGTATTTTATTTCCGATAACTAAATGTTATGTTGGGCGTCCATGGCCGATTGGTTACGGCCGTCAACTCTCTGTGGGTTGTTCCAGCCAGAGACATTGGATTCTTACATTTAAGGCATTTATCCGGACAGCTTACGAAACATCAATGGTTCAACCCAGATGCCAGTTCGTGCCTGAAATCAACAGTCCTGGAGGATTCATAGTTTCAGTCTTTCTTATATCTGGATCAGAAAAAAGTCACAGCTAATGTGGTCCTGATGATGGTTTGTATAAATCTATTTTAACTTCTCTGGGTCACTCATTGCAATAGTTAACTGGCCAAGGACAAACACTTTGTCTGAAAGATCTTCATACCATGTCCTATGCATGCAATGCTGCATATGTCATTTTTTTTTATTTAACTGTGTGTCTGGTGTAGTTTTGGTTTGTTGTTTCAAAATTGTTTTTTCACTAATTTCATCCCGGATAGGATTCCGCCATGTGTATGCACTTTTAATGTGCCATTTAGGGAACCATTTCTAATATTTAAAACTATGGCAAAATCAATACTATAGTCTGACCTAAAAATAACGAACATTTAAAATGCTATATTCATTTATTACACATTGTCTGCAATATTTATACATTAATAAATGACATTTTGCAAGAAAAAAGATAAACTGTCTATCAAGGTATGACAATTTATTGTTCCGTCAAGTCCGTTCAACTATTGAAACACACAGGATCATTAGAGTTACATAACAGTTTTACAATGATTTGAATTTTCGTTAGATAATGCATTTCAGTAAAAATCAATTGTTGATATATTGAAGATAAAATATTTAGTCCATCAAATGATATATCATTCAGATTTAAAAAAAAATGCTGTACATCGGTTCGTTTAACGACTATAGGACATGATATTTTATAAAAACTACAAATGAATATAAATCTATATAGTCAGGTATTTATTTTAATGAAATGATATATAGTGTTGTTTCGGTTAACTTTTGGACACATTTTTGGTGGCTCGGCTGTCATAGTTTCCTTTATGCTCGACAACTTTCATTAAAAATGACTCTAGTGCCTGCTTCCCATAGCAAAATTACAGTGAAACATAGCACTAAAACATAAAAACGTGACATTCAAAAAGCATTTGTCGTAACACTTACTTGGTTTCAGAGATTGGTAAAAAAAGAGAACATAAATAGGACATCACATGATTAGATGAAAATACGATGCTTTTAGTATAAAAATATTTAAGAAACGAGGAATAAATTTTTTTCTTCAGAAAATGAAATATTTTCCAAAGTATCTGGGATACTTTTGACTTGTCAATGCATGGAGTGATAATTTCACTGCTTCCGGGTCGTCAAAACATGACTGTGACGTTTACTAATAAAACTGCTATTTGGTTAATTTTAACTGTTTCGTTTGTAGTCTACACCTACCTTCCGCTAATATTTGATGACACATCAAAATTTGTCTTGTATGGTGGCTGATTTGTGCCATTCGTGTTTTTGCCCCGCGACCCCGCCAAGCGAAAAGTCGAGAAATAACAAGTTCAAACGGAGGATCCGCGGGACGAAAACACGCTAATTAGCGAGGGAGCTGAGCGAAGTTTAATAAATATAACTTCGCTCCGCGGGATTTAAGAAATAAAACGGCGGGGTCGCGGAGAGAAAACATGCTAATGATTCTTGCCGTTTTCTGTGGGTATCCGAAATTGGTTTGCAATATGTTGTATCCGATGTTGAGATGTTAACTAAATACGGTCACTCCCAGCTGGCTAGTTTGTGGTAGGTGGTTTACGTTGCCAATAATAGGCTAGAACTCAGACAGTCGATGAACATCAAACGTATGGTACATGTTGACTGTATCAGCCATAAAGCTAATCAGCTATCCATTGGTTATGGAGAATGGTTGTTTGCTGATACTGTTTTAGTTCTGAAGTGGATGTATATTTGGTTCTAAAAGTTTCCATAGTTCATTTCATAGGTGCAGTGAATTTTTATCAATGTTGAGAAGATACTGCCTGTTTAAGTTTCATTGGCCATTGTGCTGGAAATCGGTAGCTCCATTTTGTGATATTTATACATAGACATTCCACCATTTCACCTTTTGCAGATTGGACAAATTCAAATCTGCATATTCGGTGACTGAGTTTCATTTTAAGTTTATTTTCTTTTCTTTTTGCTTCTTTTTTCTGTTTTTATTTATCAATAACATACAGAGGATATTTGTTTAGTTCAGTGTAAGATCGGAATATATTTCACCGAGTGAGCACCAAAAGGTATATTTCACGAGTGGCGCAGCCACGAGTGTAATGTGAACTTTTGATGTTCACGAGGGTGCCAAATAATAATACCACGTGACGTCATTTACGACCTCCTGTAATTAAGTTGGTTTCAAGTACTGTGAACGCTTGTAACAACTGAAACAACGTTACACTATAGGCGCGTCAATGAAAAATGACTCTTTTTATCAGTTCATCGTTCTTCTTTATAATAAATAACATATAAAGGATATTTGTTAAGTTCGAAATATATTTCACCTCGTGAATACCAAAAATTCACATTTCACTCGTGGCTGCGCCACGCGTGAAATATACCTTTTGGTGCTCACTCGGTGAAATATATTTCGATCTTACACTCAACTAAACAAATTTTCTTTCAAACGTTTAAAAGGACATTTTACCTAATAATTAATGAATAGCGCGCCAAATAATTATATAACGTGACGTCATTTACGACGTCACGTTATTAAGTTGGTTTCCAGTTCTGTGTATGCAAGTATTTCACTGAAACAACGTAAGGGGCTTAAATTCAAAACAGTGAAATTATCAAATTGATAATTTCACTGTTTCAAACAGTGAAATTATCAGTTTTGATTCACTGATATATTTCTATAAATCATCGAAATGCATGTAATAAGTAATAGAAAAGAGCACCGAAACACGAGGCTATCTGATTTGTACGAGGGGGGCGCAGCCCCCAAGTATAAATCAGATTGCCTAGTGTTTTGGTGTTCTTTCTCTTTTGTATCATAGTCAAACATGACAGCACGTTCCCTGTTGTCATGATATGAAACCAATGAACGAGCATTTGAATATAATATTTCTGCCCCTTTCCCTTTCTCTGCCGTCACAATATGTAAACCCAAGCAAAAATGAACCAATCAACTGGCATTATCTGTTACCGCACTGTGCATGTATATGTATACGATTTAACTGTGACACTTTTTCAACAGAAAGGTCCCCAAACTATGATACAAATGATTTTATTCAACTCGTTCAATAAATTTCATTCAATGTCCTCTTTATCAAATCACTGCAAACGTTTTTGCTACAAGTATTTCTCTCTTTAAAGTGCAATCCTAAATTACATCTAGGTAAATATGACATTATACAAATGTATTATATTTTACATCTAATTCCATATCACTTATTATATTTAAACACATGTCATATTGTTGTCTCACTTTTACAGTTAAAGTCAACATCTATTAATCTCTCAATTCATCTTGTTATATGGGTTGGACCTTGAAATCACAAGGGATAAATGTTTATGAAACTTGACGTATGCTATGTAAAAAGGGGAGTTATTTGTAATGACATGTGATGATGCACTTTATTCTATATATACTGTATTGTTTGTGAATCATTTAACTATTTCTTATAAAAACTACACTGTTGCGCAATAACTTTATAAAACTTTATCACCGATATTTATTATACTTAATATTGTCTTCTTTTTTTAACCCCAATCATATACATGTAAATGCGTGTGAGGGATGGTCCTAAAGTCGGTCCGCTATAAATCTTGTACCCATTCAAGGTCACCTTTTGAAAAATGAAATTATAGCATTTCTGAGTGATAATGGGCCTTTAATTACAACATAAACCGACCTAATAAGGCCACGAATTAACTCAAGTTGGACTCAGTTCATTAAAGAAGAAAAAATGTGATGATGAAAACAAATAAAACAATATTATTATTATTTGAAATCGTATGAGCGTTTATTTAAACTCTTCAGCAGATATTTTACAAAAATTTCAGATTTTTTTTAAATTTATTTGTTTAATCTCGGTGAATTAATTTAATGTTCGATTTTCTTTTTAACAATGAATAAATGAAATAAAAATAATAAAATAAATGCATGTAAATATATTAAAATATACAATTGGGTTAAATAACTTCTTCAGTTTTTAACGCGCTCTTTAGGTTTAAATTCGAAGCGATAAAAATCCATACAGTATGTTTTTCCATGTAGTATTAACACGTTGTATGAAATTGGGATTATAATATTTCTATTATTTGATACAGCTGAAGCGTGTCTCTAGCTAAAACGCCAGTGACACCGCCTTCACAAACCAATATCCAATACAGGAACAAATAGTGCATAGCGGATATATAAGAATTTTCTAGATTGTTTATTTTTAGAACATACCATTTGTTTAAATTGTGACGCAGCCTTGAAAGTTGTTCTTATCTCAAATTTTTCACGTCTTAAATTACAGGACATTGTTGTATCAATATCAGATATATCGTTGTTAAAACGGTCGTATATGGTGATGGTGAAAAATCAGGTCACGTCTAAAAATAAAATTATTAAAAACTATATATAAAAGGAAGGGTTGAACCTAACACGGATATGTCGGATAATATAGGAGGGACGGTTTTGCATGTGGGCGACTTAGCGGTTATAATTGTTTATTTCGTGTTCATACTCGCCGTTGGATTATGGGTAAGTTTGTGTTTATATTCCGGGTTAATAGTTTTAACTTACGTATTGTCGGCAATATTGACCCGACACATTTGAATATTCAATGATTTTTGTCGGTATTTATCGTATTAGGTATGCATGGTTTATGACCAACAGAACACTGACAAGGAGTTAAGATTTTCAGTTTTATATTAAAAGGTTGTAGGGAAACATTTTTTTCTATATTTTCTTTTTATATATTAATTTATTTAGTTATTAGTTTTTATTTATTTTGAGCAACTTCACAAATATATTTTGTGCATAATCACCCAGTGTAAAACTTTACTTATACACTTATTTACACTTAATTAGATTTCTATTAAAATTATGGAGAAAAAACATATACTTATGAAATTTAAAAACGACACCAAGAATTAATCAAATAATTTGCATATACATGTATTTAAAAAAAAAATCTTTGAAAAATAGTTTAACTTCGAACTGCAACGACATCCTACTTACCACTAGGCCATTGGGCCGTTAATATGCAAGTAAGTATCGATAACCATACTGGTGAAACTAACGAAAAACCTCCCGAAAATAAATATGTTTCAGATCAATATTGTCAAACAATAGACTGATATGACACGGGTATATTTACAATAGGCACTATACAAGTACCATAGCTAGTTTAATAAAAGAGCTATTTCTTTGATAAAGAAACATACCTATTTCTGCTTTGTTATGTAGCACCTAAATCACATTGATGTAAATGTATTATATTTGAGTCACAGGGTGAGAAAAACGTTCTGTCTGACCGGTATTCGAACCAGGAACGTCAGAATACATAACATAACTGTACCTTGACATACTCACCCGCTATATTGAAACTTCTAATGAGAACAAATAGCAATGTAATTGACACAGGGTTTATGCATTCACGGTTCCCTGTTGGGCGCCTAATGTAAACATGTGAGATTAATGTCCAGCCTGACTAGGACTCGAGCCCAGGATCCTTGGAATAAAGTACCGCGGCTCTACTTACTGAGCTATCCTGCCACATATTATAGCTAACTATGGTACCGACATTTTTTCACTTTAATAAATATTTCTGAGCATGACGATTTCTATTTTCGAAATTAAAATGTTTAGTGCGCTCTAATTAACTGATATCATTTTTCATCTACGATCTAGACATTCAAAAATAAGGTCAGTAGCATTGACATTTGACATTGATAAATCTAAAGGTTTTTGACCTTTTACAATAATCAAACTAGGCGGCACAACTGCTATTCCAGTGTAAATACTCACCGTAGGGAACGTGTTACAGTATCGCGTTTTCCGGTTACAGTATAGAATTTTAAAGATGGAGGATTATTTGTTGGCAGGACAGGTAGGGTATTCTTATTCCGGTCCATACTACTAGTAGTTTAGTTTCTAAAAGATGCTTTTGTGCTTTGCTTGTAAGGAACAGAATCCAGTATCTAGTCATATAATTCTTCAGACTCTGCACCGCAGATTTATCGCTATAATGTCTCATAAATATGCAGATTTGACAGTTTGAAAATTTGAATCGAGAAACCAACGCATTTTTCTCCAATTTCGGCATTATTTATGAATGCCTAAAAAAAGTAAATCTGCAAAACGTCAGTCCTTTATGTTAGGAAACGTTTATAAAAGTAAATGACCAGTTGAACCTATTTTCCTGTTCGTTAAATGCGTTTGAAAAAATAAATAATGTTACAGTATAGAGCGTTGTGATTTGTGCAGAGTTACAGCATAGACCTACCGATTTTTATCCGATTGTGTTACAGTTTGTACCAAGATTTCGATTACAGTTTAGACTTCGATATTTTCTATATATATATACACTAGGTAAAATGTATGAATGATACATAGACTTTTAAATCTCTGTGAGCTTTTTGGCCTGATGGCTTTTCGTCCGTCTGTCGTACACATGTGTGTGCAATCTCATCCACTCAGTAACTACTTGACTAAATGTGATGAAATTTACATGACTTTCTATCAATTAAGTTGTTCGAATGGTTTCAGTTGCAATCGGGGATACGAAAACCAAAAACATAGATTTAAAAAAGACAATGTTAAAATACCCTTCTCATCTCGAACCAGAAACATTCAAATCAAATCATGATCATGGCGTCATTTCGAATGCGTCTTTGTTGAAGTTACGATTATTTTGTCTTTTTTTTAATGTCAGACATCCTGTATGGCAGTTTTCATGTTTCTGAAAAAGAAAATAATATTGAAAGTTATAGAGTATAAATTAAGGTCAGACAATTACACTATCTTCTCTAGTGAGCCTGATGGTGGTACATAATAGTACAGTGGCAGAGTCGGGATAAGGCTGTCGACTTCAAATCATCTTTCATTTACTGCTGTAGTTGAAATCAAAATTAATCATGACTTTGGATTCTTTGTATGTGAGGAATCTATCAAGCTAATTTACTGAAGGTCTGTGGTTCTAGTCAGGTGCCCACTCGTGTCTGAAATGTTTCACAAAGGGTATCTATAGGGTCTTTCTTTGCACTAAAGCAGGAATATTTTCATATGACCTCAGTGTCGTTGAAACTTAAAATCCAAGAAAGCCAAACGTAACAAACCCTTTTAAATACTTACAAAAAACATGATTGTACATGGAAATTCCAACTTTAAATAAAGTTTAAGGTTGCAGTATTGCTCATTTAATACTGTTTAATCATTCGTAGGGTATTGCCTGCTTGTTAATTGTGTCTTTTGACAGCTTATATATGGTATGCAGGCTTCATATCTCAAAATTTCATTTTATTTAGTTGTATTCTCGTTTCGGGCACACGTAATTTTTAACCTGGGGGTAATATGCCGCTTTTCATAGAATGCCAATAACGTGCCACATTGAAGGTTCTGTGATAACCGCCATATGGACACATCCACAGATGTTAAAAAATCTTAAGTGTAGAAGTTCATGTTAAAGTGAATTCTGCTGAAGCCGGTACTAGGAGGCTTGGACGGTAGCTTGCAGTTACCACTACCGTCAATGAACAGGTTTAATCAAACTGAGCTTGCAACATGTGTTGGACTTCTGTTGGGGATTCTTTTTTTCTCTTTTTTATTACTAATAGGCATTATTATAATGTGTAAAGAAATCAGGTAATTATCTTTCTTCTCTCAATACAATTCGATAAAAGTTACTGTTGTTGTCGTGAAAACAGTCCTTACTTAGGACATTATAATTACTTATTCTAAAAAAAAGTCTCAATCTGAAACTTAAAGTAAGAAAAATAGCCAACTATAACTTTTCTGCTGAAGAAAAAAGTAATACAACCTTTCAAGAATGTATTAAATCGAAAGATATGAGTTATTTCATAAAAATAATTGATACACAAACTCTGTTTGAAATTTGACAAGTATCTAAACTGTAACCGAAATCTGGGTATAAACTGTAACAAAATTGGATCAAAGTCGCTAGGTCTATGCTGTAACCCTTCAAAATTAACATCGCTCTATACTGTAACATTGTTTATTTTTTCAAACGCATTTTACCAACAGGAAAATAGGTTCAACTGGTCATTTACTTTTATAAACGTTTCTAAACACAAATGACTAACGTTTTGTAGATTTACTTTATCTTGGCATGCTTAAAAATGTCTGAATGGAACAAAAATGCGATGGTCTCTCGATTCAAATTTTTGAACAGTCAAATCTGCACATTTATGACACAATATAGCGATAAATCTGCGGTGCAGGGGATGAAGAAATATATGACTAGATTCCGGATTCTGTTCTTTACAAGAAAAGTACAAAAACGTCTTTTAGAAACGAAACTACGAGTAGTATGGACCTGAATAAAAATCACCTACCTCTCTTCCCAAAAATAATCCTCCATCTTGAAAATTCTATACTGTAACCGGAAAACGCGATACTGTAACACGTTCCCTACGGTGATACTCTGGCTCGTGTGATTGTGACCGTATGTTTAAGATTTTAACATACATTATTAATAAGGTTATCATAAATGTCTTTAGCTACAGAGAAAAAACCCTGATAAGTCTAGACTTATTTTAGGGAACATCAAATATCTGATATTTGAACAGCAAATAGTGGTTATTGCCTATTCCGGTTTAAATGATGTACAAGCGAAGGAATGGTCAGCTTTGAACTGCTTATTTTGAGAAGAGTTGAATAGAATACAACCTTTAACTAGATCTATCTGCACAGTTGTGAAAATTGAAATAAAATTACTTCTATACTAGGTCTCCTTTTATACCGTGACAAGACAGGTATGACTGAGTCAGTGCCATAAGGAAAGTTAACCAAATAGTGTGCTAGGAATTTGACAAGCTCGTAATGGTTAATCGTGCAATGCCATGGACATTAAATGTTATCCCGATATAACGATATATAAACGTTAATAAGCAATGGATCAACAGTAATTATAGCCTTACATTTGAAAATAAACATTGTTGATAAGACATTTACCGAATATTACCAAATTAAAAAAAGCTTATTAAAGGCGACTAATACTGTCTTGGAAGCCAAAACAATTCCCGCATAGAACTACCCAAACCTTCTCTCAAGATAAATACAACAAAAATCTTCATAATAACTTTGTTTTCTAGTTTCTAAAGGTTAAAAATTGTTAGATTGAAAAATTCAGATGTTTTATGACAATGCAATGCAACATCTCTTAAGTACTGTATCTGTTTGTATTGGAATCACGCTAGATAATGTAGATATATAGGCTCTAATCAGGTATATTATATATTTTTATTTTAAAACAACACCTTGTCAACTTTGAACAATACAGGAAAATTTCAGTTTTTATATATTATACGACACTATTACCTTACAGCAAATAAAGATCTACTTTTGCAGGGCAACCGAAAATAGGGTGTCATTATGTTGTGATGTTATCATGTTGCTCTCGTTGAATTGAAGTGATAAAATACAAACTGTCTTTATCAGTTTTAATAAAGTCGTTCAATAAATTCAATACGAAAATATTTGAACGTAGAACATGTTTCTATCGTTGTAGAAAATATGCCCCTTTTCGACTAAAAAATTAAAAAAAAAATGCTATTTTTTCTCGAAAGACCACGCTAAAGTACTTATTAAAGTATATGGATGTCAAAGCATGAGGTATAGTCGGAAACACAGGTTATCGGATCATGAGGTAGAGTTGAATAAACGGGTTATTGGAGCATGATGTTAAATCTGATAAAAGATTGATCGCAGCAATGAGAAAGAGCCGGATACACGGGTTATTGGTAGATGAGGTTGAGTATGATACAAGGGTTATCGGGTCATGAGGTTGAGTCTGATACAAGGGTTATCGGGTCATGAGGTTGAGTTTGATACAAGGGTTATCGGAGCATGAAATAGAGTTTGATACAAGGGTTATCGGAGAATGAGGTAGAGTGTGATACAAGGGTTATCGGAGTATCAGTATGAGATAGAGTGTTATACAAAGATTATCGAATAATGAGGTTGAATTTGATTCAAGGGTTATCGAATCATGAGATAGAGTCTGGTACAAGGGTAATCGGAGCATTAGATAGAGTGTGATACAAAGGGTTATCGGACCATAAGATAGAGTCTGATACAAGGGTAATCGGAGCATGAGATAGAGTGTGATACAAGGGTTATCGGAGCATGAGATAGAGTGTGATACAAGTGTTATCGGAGCATGAGATAGAGTCTGATACAAGTGTTATCGGAGCATGAGATAGAGTCTGATACAAGGGTTATCGGAGCATGAGATAGAGTTTGATACAAGTGTTATTGGAGCATGAGATAGAGTCTGATACAAGGGTTATCGGAGCATGAGATAGAGTCTGATACAAGTGTTATTGGAGCATGAGATAGAGTCTGATTCAAGTGTTATCGGAGCATGAGATAAAGTCTGATACAAGTGTTATCGGAGCATGAGATAGAGTTTGATACAAGGATAATTGGAGCATGAGATAGAGTCTGATACAAGGGTTATCGGAGCATGAGATAGAGTGTGATACAAAGGGTTATCGGAGCATGAGATAAAGTGTGATACAAAGGGTTATCGGAGCATGAGATAGAGTGTGATACAAAGGGTTATCGGAGCATAAGATAGAGTCTGATACAAGGGTTATCGGAGCATGAGAGCGAGTGTGATACAAGATTTATCGGATCATGAAGTAGAGGATGGGGGAAATTTCCCTTTTTTCATATTTGAAACTAAAAAATTTTTGCTTTTTTAAAATTTAAATTTAAAAATAAATGTGTTGTTGAAAAACCTTTGTAATTGGTAAAATGAAGGGTATTTTTTTTTTTGTTTATTTTGGGCCTAAAAAGGAAAATGTTTTTTTTACGGGCTTGGTTTAAAATTATTCAGAAAAAATGTATAAAAAAATTTTCGTAAATGTTCAAAATTTTAAAAAATAGTTAAATTTAAAAAATGCAAAATTTTTGTAGGAATGAACTGCGTCAATTGAGAAACAAGTGCATAAAGAAAATATAAGTTTCCTTTCCGAAATGATTAATATATAATATTAAAGAAAACAATCAAACATCGGCTGTCGGCCCAGACGGACGAAGAGAAACTGTTCCTCGTAAGTTCCGTAAACTGTTATGCTCGAGCTGTATATTCTGGACTTCACTGGCAGCCGGTGTCAGATTCTTATATAATGTTCAGCCGAAATTCGAATGTATATTTGTCCCTTTTTGGGAAACATTAAATTAAGCTATACATATTGGTATTTAAGCACAAATATATCGTTTGTTCTGGCAGACATTATTCGAGCATGAATAACTGTAATGTATACATACGTTCTGCATTTCAGAGTTCCCGGAAGAACCGAGGCAGTGCAGGCGGCTATTTCCTGGCCGGTCGAAATATGAACTGGATACCAGTAAGTACATAAATAATTGAACAACTTTGCATCAAAATTTAACTTAAGAATGATACTCATTCTTTTTTATTCAAATTCGAAATTGACGAAAAACAATTCGTCCTGCAAATGTGGCTCACTGATTTTAGTAAAGATATTGTCAATTATATTTAAAAGAGGTGTTAAATATAATTTTTATATTCTTATGTAACTGGTATAAGTAAAAATAACAATTATTGAATACTTCAGGTTGGAGCATCACTATTTGCAAGTAACATAGGAAGTTTACATTTTGTTGGTATGGTGGGATCCGGTGCTGCTTCTGGTATAGCCATTTATCTTTATGAACTGAACGTAAGTGTAATATATACCCATCAAACATGTTAATTATGTAACAAACATATGTTATGTATGTAACAAACATATTCAACAATGCACGTGTAACTAATGTTAAATACATTTGGGGCAATAAACGTGTAAGTTTTATAATTAACATTAAATCTGCAATGAACGTGTAACTTAGCCACAAACATATGTAAACAAGATATTTTATTAACATACATATTGTATAAAGGGGAATACTTTAAAACACATCTGACAGTCTGTTCCAAAAGTATTTCATTTAAAAAACAATTTTGGGGTTTAAAAAATCAAATGAATTTAAAAAAAGGTTTTAGGTAACCCTTTGGGGTTACCAATAAAAAGCTTTGTCCGACTAACTACAAGAGAACACTCTGATCTAGAGACCTCAGATTTTGTATAGAGGTTTGTCATTTCTAGTGGATGATCCATGTAGACTTTGAGGATCAAAGTGACAGGTTGTTTAGCTAATAATTAAAGAATAATTTGGCGTGTAGTTTTATTCTAAGAGGGTTGGTAAAGAATTTGAGATAACCCGTACTGATTTTAAGATCAGTTTTGTAACCAAAACTTTTAGATCAATAACTAGAGAATGTTTGAGCCTACAGTCCAACGCTTTATTGTCCCTACAAGATGTGAGATTTGTTGATCAAAGGTAAAAGTCTTCACTGAGACCTTGACCACCAAAACCTTAGACAAGTAAATAACACGAGAACGCTTTGATGTACAATTCCGAAATTACTATTTATGTACAGTTCTGGGATTAATGTGTATGTCCAGTTTGATAATTAATGTGTATATCTAGGTTGATAATTAATGTGTATGTCTAGGTTGAGAATTAATGTGTATATCTAGGTTGATAATTAATGTGTATATCTAGGTTGATAATTAATGTGTATATCTAGGTTGATAATTACGTGTATATCTAGGTTGATAATTAATGTGTATGTCAAGTTTGATAATTACGTGTATATCCAGTTTGATAATTATTGTGTATATCTAGGTTGATAATTAATGTGTATATCTAGGTTGATAATTACGTGAATATCCAGTTTGATAATTAATGTGTATGTCAAGTTTGATAATTAATGTGTATATCCAGTTTGATAATTAATGTGTATATCTAGGTTGATAATTGCGTGTATATCTAGGTTGATAATTAATGTGTATATCTAGGTTGATAATTACGTGTATATCTAGGTTGATAATTAATGTGTATGTCCAGTTTGATAATTAATGTGTATATCTAGGTTGATAATTAATGTGTATATCTAGGTTGATAATTACGTGTATATCCAGTTTGATAATTAATGTGTATGTCCAGTTTGATAATTAATGTGTATATCCAGTTTGATAATTAATGTGTATATCTAGGTTGATAATTACGTGTATATCTAGGTTGATAATTAATGTGTATATCTAGGTTGATAATTACGTGTATATCTAGGTTGATAATTAATGTGTATGTCCAGTTTGATAATTAATGTGTATAATCCAGTTTGATAATTAATGTGTATATTAGGTTGATAATTACGTGATATATCTAGGTTGATAATTAATGTGTATGTCCAGTTTGATAATTAATGTGTATATCCAGTTTGATAATTAATGTGTATATTTAGGTTGATAATTAATGTGTATATCTAGGTTGATAATTAATGTGTATATCTAGGTTGATAATTAATGTGTATATCTAGGTTGATAATTACGTGTATATCTAGGTTGATAATTAATGTGTATATCTAGGTTGATAATTAATGTGTATATCTAGGTAGATAATTAATGTGTATATCTAGGTTGATAATTAATGTGTATGTCTAGGTTGAGAATTAATGTGTATATCTAGGTTGATAATTAATGTGTATGTCCAGTTTGATAGTTAATGTGTATATCTAGGTTGATAATTAATGTGTATATCTAGGTTGATAATTAATGTATATATCTAGGTTGATAATTACGTGTATATCTAGGTTGATAATTAATGTGTATGTCCAGTTTGATAATTAATGTGTATATCCAGTTTGATAATAAATGTGTATATCTAGGTTGATAATTAATGTGTATATTTAGGTTGATAATTAATGTGTATATCTAGGTTGATACTTTATGTGTATATCTAGGTTGATAATTACGTGTATATCTAGGTTGATAATTACGTGTATATCCAGATTAAGAATTTACGTGTATGTATATTCTGGCTAGGTTGAGAAATAATGTGTATGTCAATGTTAAAAATTTACGTGTATGTATGTTCTGGAATCAGCGTGTATGTCTAGGTAGAGAATTAATGTGTATGTCTAGGTTAATGTATGTTCTGGAGTCTATGTAGAGAATTAATGTGTATATCTAGGTTAAGAATTTACGTGTATGTATGTTCTGGAATCAGCGTGTATGTCTAGATTGAGAATTAACGTGTGTATCCAGATAAAGAATTTACGTGTATGTATGTTCTGGAGTCTAGGTAGAGAATTAATGTGTATATCTAGGTTAAGAATTTACGTGTATGTATGTTCTGGAATCAGCGTGTATGTCTAGGTAGAGAATTAACGTGTACGTCCATGTTAAGAATTTACGTGTATGTATGTTCTGGAATCAGCGTGTATGTCTAGGTAGAGAATTAACTTGTATGTCCAGGTTAAGAATTTACGTGTATGTATGTTCTGGAATCAGCGTGTATGTCTAGGTAGAGAATTAATGTGTATGTCCAGGTTAAGTATTTACGTTTATGTATGTTCTGGAGTCTAGGTAGAGAATTAATGTGTATATCTAGGTTAAGAATTTACGTGTATGTATGTTCTGGAATCAGCGTGTATGTCTAGGTAGAGAATTAACGAGTATGTCCAGATAAAGAATTTACATGTATGTATGTTCTGGAATCAGCGTGTATGTCTAGATTGAGAATTAACGTGTATGTCCACTGTCCAGATAAAGAATTTACGTGTATGTATGTTCTGGAAATCAGCGTGTATGTCTAGGTAGAGAATTAACGTATATGTCCCGGTTAAGATTTTACGTGTATGTATGTTCTGGAATCAGCGTGTATGTCTAGGTAGATAATTAACGTGTATGTCCAGATTATGAATTTACGTGTATTCAGCGTGCATGTCTAGGTTAAGAATTAACATTTTGTTGTTGTTGTTATTGTATTTCAGGCGATGTATGTACTGATGATTTTAGCTTACATATTCTTGCCAGTATACATTGCATCTGGGGTAAGTTTTAAATGTCCCTTAAATGTCACTTAAAGTTTTTACAGTTATTCATCGTTTATCAAATGGCATTTTGTAACAGATACGCAAAATTCATTATAGAAATTTGTAATTTTATGCATTAAAGATCAGTGGTACCAGCTATCATATTGTAATGAGAGTTTTATTGATGTTTGAAATAACATACACGCAAGATATTTATGTCTTCAAAATGTATCAATATTAAAATATTATGCTTTTATTTATTTTAAAATGCGACTATATTTGAAAATTTGAAAATCATTCACAATAAAAGTTACATATTGATCAATCAGTACAATATCAGTTAACTTTTTTGATAGAAGACTGGGGAAACTTGGTTGCCATAGCCCATAGGTACTTGCAATTGTACACATGTTAGATTTAAATATGGCTTAGCAAGGCAGCGTTGGTATCTATCAATGAGAATGGGTGTTGTATGTCATTTCTACTAGAATACTAAATACCGAAAATCCATGTATAGTTACATGTAAATTCCTAAACGAAAAAGTTGTTTTCATTTTCAAACATGTAACTATATTAAGGCATGTTAGTTTGTCAACTACAATTAATGTTTAAAGAAGTGTTTATAACATGTAAGCATGCCTTTCTTTGTTGTAAAAGTGTGCATGACATCTTTTAATGTATTTTTGGTATTATTTCAAATATTAAAGTGACCTATTTTTGTTGACGTTCACCTTGACACTGTTTCTCAAGTGACTATGCTTTCTTCTTTTAAATAATATGCAGAACAACACTCGGTCGTTCAACTGTACAGTGTGCAATATAAAAACAATTGCAAACATATTGTGGTAATTTTCCTACGATGAATGATTACAAGATGTATTTAAATAATTTGGCCATTTGATAAGGCGATTGCCTGTTTAGCCATTTACTGATCGCATTCATAGTTAGTCGTTTTAAAAACGTTTTATAAACATTTTCTCCCAGATTATACGATCATTGATCTTAACGTTAACTTGTACAAGAATTTTAAGTTTAAAAAACTGACAAATTTAACGTAACGTACTAACGTTTCATTTATGCACTTATACGTATCGCTTACTCTTCAACACGACCGACGTTGATTTACGTCAAAGTTTCTTCACAGAAAAAATAAAGCCTAACTGACCGAGTTTTCATTTTATAATTCTTTATTTAGATATTTAAACCACTGTTGTGTCTGTAAAGGCTTCAACACATGGTAGGATTTAGAAGTACAATCAAATATTAATGTCTGAAGTTTACTTTTTCTTGAATTTGTACAACTTAATACTAACACTACAGGTAAGACCATTTTGTAATTGAAAACAAAATATTAAGATTGGTGCAAAGAGCCTCGAAGTTGTGGGATGTTCGGATCCCAAGTTACGCTTAAAGAATTATAGACAAAGAAAAATGGAGGAATTTCCTTGCTATAATAATAAATTATGAAAAAAAATATTCTTCTCCACAAGAACAAAATGCAGAACAAGCTTTAAAGCTTTAGGGTGCTTATTTATTCAATTTATTCCAGAAGAACATGGTAATTTCCTAAATACACCTCTTATGCTATTCACAACCCAACCTGTAGGTGAATCTCTTTAACAATCTCCTTCTTTAGACAATACCAACAATTTTAACATGTACTATTATTCCTGTAATAAATGTATGTAAATTCTGCAAGTGATAAAACATGGAGGGGAACCTGATTATTCATATAATAATTATAGTATATTATATAGTGAATGCAAGTGTTGTATTGTTTTGCATGTGTACGAGTGCATGTTATCTTTACTTAGTATTGTTCAGTTAATTGACACTTCCTGATAAGGTATAAAGTCTATTTTTCTCACGCAATTCACTTCAAGTCAACCATAAAACAAGTTCATAATGTATTTTGATGTTGTATATTTTATATCGTATATTTGCAGGTATTTACCATGCCAGAGTATCTAAAGTTTAGATTTGGCGGGAAGCGGATTCAGATTTATCTTGCCGTGTTAGCCTTACTTGTCTATATATTTACAAAAATATCTGTAAGTTTTCACGTTTTATCTTGAGCACAGTTAAAATAATGCTTTATAACTGTTATATTATGATAGATCTAACCATTGCTTAATAAAATATCTGAGCTTTTAATCACCATTTCCATGTTAATAATATATCAAGATAAATAAGGAATTTGCAAATTACATCACTGACTAAATTTAGGGAACAGAAGATTAGATTTCGTAAGATGTGTATGAAGGAGCTATATTTGTTAGGTTATAATGAAGTAGTTGTGTTTGATTTTTGTGTTTCTCAACTGGAGCAAATAGCCTACCTGTTCGTCTGTTCGTACGGACTCAAGTGACATTATGGGATGAATATCGGTGTTTATTCCCTACAAACTTGTACTTGTGGAAAAAAGATTGCTTATGGAAAGAAAATATGTTGCTTAAAGATCAAAGAAAAAAAAACATAATGCCAACTCACGGAGAACGTCTGTCTGTCTGTCTGTTCCGACATTTGCATTTTATATTTTTTTCTCTCTTCGTATGACATTTTCCACATACACCAGTGGATGCTTCATCTCATTGCACAGAATGAACCTCATTTATCTAGACGCACAAAAAATATTTCAATTATCTGTCTTAAGATAATTGTGCATGTCCGGAGTTGAACGTCTGATATCAATAACTTCAAAACAGTGATAAAGACTCTTCTAGACACTAATACTATCTCTTACTCCGCACAGATATAGAAACAAGTGAGATAATGTGCGGTATTATGTATGGGTAAGAGTTCGTATTAAGACGACCGTAGGGAGTCTTATCGAACTCTTACCCATATAACTGCAAATCGGCTCTTACAACTCGATATCAGATAAAAATATAGGAAGTGTCACCTCTTTAATTAAGCATAACATTATTTTTCCCCAGCAGTCACGTACAAACAAGGATGGGGTCCAATTACTTAATCTGGCATGTAAAACAATGAGTTTTCAACAATACCTAGGATTGTTAATGCAATTCATTCCTGTCATATGAAACAAAATAATGTTTTGCTTACTTTTCTAGAAAATATAAAACAGTCAGCAATTAATAATTGACATTTTTCATAGAGTTTAAAGGATATCAAAAAGTTACTGTGTTCACATTTGTCTCTGGGAGCTGAGCTCCCCGTGCATTATCTATGTAATAAATTTGAATTGCTACAGTGTTATCAGCCTTTTTAGAAACACCTGACCTGGCTAATTAAAATATGCCAATCACAATTTTCACTATCAGCACTGGTTTCTTCATGAAATAGCGGCTACACTAATTACTGCCGAGTAAGAGCCGATTTGCAGTTATAAAAATTAAACTCTTCAGTGCTTTATTATCTTCCTTTTGATATTTAATAATGCTTGACCTGAGAATAACAAGAATTTGATTAGCTCATTGCACGGTTATATAGACCAGTGAGATGGAATGCAGTGTCTGTAACTATAATACATGTAGTTACACATTCGCTTGCCTTATAAATAAAGCATTTATTTTTAAACTGTGTCCTTGATGCTTGGTATATAATTATTTTAGATGGTCTTGTATATATTTGATTGGAGTAAGTGTCACTTTTGTCAATGTAAATACAACCAGACTTATAAAAATAGATTTTTACACTTTTTACATAGGTATCTCATCTCCGGAGAGCTTCAAGACCTATATTCGTTACGTACGAACGAATTTAGATTTCAGGAGGTAATGCCTTCCGACGAATATAGCTCCCAATCACGAACCGCGTCACAAAGAAAATGTTTACAGCTTGAATTATTTTGTGATAGTTCTACCACTTATTCTATCATCATCATAATCGTCATCATTATCATCAAAGTCAACAATCATCAACCCAATATTCATCAACGTCGCCCTCATCATGAAATTCATCATCCTCATCAGTATTATCATAGGAGGCAACAATCATCACCTACATTATCATAATCAAAATCACGGTCATCATTGCATTCATTAAAATCATCATAATTATTATTATAATCATCATCATCATCTTACTATCATCACCAAAATATCATATCATCATCGACATCATTAAAATACAATCATCATTTTCATCATTATCATCATCATTAAAAACATCTTCATCATCATAATCATCCCTCCTATTATCATCATTATCATCAAGTTTATAATTATTTATTTTAATAATTATTATTTTTAGCATCATCACTTCTATAAATTTTTTTCTTTTCGCTAGTTTTAAGTCTTTATGAATGACCTAAACTCATCAATTTTCAAATGTTTGTTTTTTAGGCCGATCTGTATGCAGGAGCTATATTTATAGAACAGTCTCTCAACTGGAACATTTATACAGCAATATTACTACTTCTGGCAGTGGCTGCTGTATTTACTGTAGCAGGTACTGTTATATTACTAATATATATCGCCAGCATGGTCCTCCAATTTGTCATTTGGTGCAAAAGACTCCGAGTATTCCCGCTTATCAGAGCAATTCGCCACCGATATATCAATTATTACACAGGTTGCTGATACGGTATATATGATGATAAATGACTGAACGACATCAGTGTTCTATCTATCCGTATATCCCTACAGTAGTCTGTGTAGTTTATAATACTGCAAATTATTTTATTTTTATTTTAAAAGAATTAAATTAACAATGTATTAAACATTGTCTATTTATCTTTGATGTCTCAAGGAACAATTCGGTATTTATGCGTTTTCGAAATAAGCAATGTTATTGTTTTTAAAGAGATCGTTTTACACTAGAATTATAACATTATCTTTATCAATGATATATTCTACTCTTTGTCATTGAAACCTTTCCCATCTATGAAACTGTTGATTGATATACATTTATTCTTTGAATATCTAAATTAATCTCTAATATGAAAAAGGCAAAGCCGATTTACTTTTACCGTGAAATAGTATAAAATAATCGTTCATTTTCCGTTTTAAAACTGTCATTCGGTAGTTTTGCTTCCTTTTATTCTGGTTCCCTGTCCTATTCTAGTCTACGCATCCATTTTCAATCAGAATTCCTCGGCTTTTATAGTTATCTTGTCATTCGAAAAGTTGCGATGTGTCAATTCAGTACTTCCGACAAAAGTTTTCAAAACTATCACTATCTAGCAGGTACTTGCGTAACTGTAAAGTAATTTCGAGCTCGCTATAAAAGTACAAAGGATAGGGTAAAAATTATGTCAGCATTATACAAACCGGGGCTTATTCGTATTAAAATATTGTATTTTAGAATATTATTAAATTTCTTTTATAAACTATTAACGAAAACAGCAATATGGATGTCATGTTGGCTAATATTCAATGTATAATGATGGTTTATTAATGATAAAATAAAAAATGCTTGATGAGCAAAGAACGAATGGACGCCCGTCGTCAGCATAGATGCATCATGGGAGTATTTAGTCACGATACACGACGTCTCAGCCAATGAGAATACGAGAAATGTATTTGCAGTATTATAAACTGTTTTATGCTCTTCTGTACAGAAAAACTTTAAAATGTGCAAAATGTAAAACATGAAAATATATGGTTTTATACTGCATGAAACAACTTGTATTACACATCAGTTTTATATTAGTTTGTACAATGTTAAATTACATTTTTAATAATTCTTGACATCTTACCAAAATACGAGGTGTGTTTGTTAAGTTTCTGGATTAATTATTAGTATTTATTATCAAATTACAGCTTCATCACAGTATTGTTTAAAAAGAACCCTGAACGATTTTATAAAAATGCAAATTCTCATTGACAAAAAGTTTTTTAAGAAACAGCAAACGTAGACTGTTTTCACTAAAGAGCGTAAAAATACAAGTATAGAATATGATTTAAGACTTCCAATTGCTACAGGTTTAACGTACATGTAGTCATTATTTCGGTGTAACTTTTCACTATTTTATTGAAGTAACATACTATTTTAATCATAAAAACGTAGTCAACTGTTTACGATGTAGAAAACATTGTTATTCGTGGGTGTGTCCGTTCTTCGCTGTATATTAAGCATCGTTTAAAAATGTTTAAAACAAATCAAAATTCGAGAATTTTTTATACATTATTATTTTTATGGAAATAATAAGTTGACTTGTACACGTGCCATTGCAATTTAACAACGTTGTGTTATTACATATTTAGTGTATTGCTTATATGACACCGACGAACAATTGAAGTTCACGCAGAAAGAAAAAATAAGTTATAAGTATCATAAAGTCTAGTCACACAAAGTTACTGGAAGGACTTGAAGATATACTGGCTAAGTTTCGCCTTAGTGAACCTTATGTCAGGCGAGTTCAGGCTATCATAATCGAAGATAGACGACGGTCGGTGCAGGGAATTTATGATGCGTCTGGAATCCGGATGCTCACAAACATTTTAAAAACTTATAACGTGTCTGCTTGATGGAGGACAAGCTACATGTCGTTGGCTTAATACTACAAACCCGTATGTCATTTTTTGTCATTTTTAGAAAATAGCGTTTGAAAGTTTGAACTGTTATAACTTTTTAATGATAAACCGTATAAAGATAAAATTTTCAGTGAATTTAGGAATCGGTATGTTATACATATATACCAAATTTTATTTCAGTGCATACAATTTTAAAGCTAAAATCACAAATTATTTATTTTTTATTTTTCATAATAAATAAGAAAACACATACATATTCTGAATTCTAAAACCCCATTCGGGAGATACTGGGTTGTTAGCAAAACATTTAGGTCATTTCTACACCATTAAAGCGACATACGGGTTCTAAGTGAAATATTTATTATAGTGTAATAATTTTCGGCTAGAAACATAGCAACAATTCAAGTAAAAAATACCATTAATTAACTTCTCCTACTGTGTAATATATTACACGTCTGTTTGAAAATCAATGCTACTATCAAATGATATCTACATCAATTTTTCAAAAGTATGCATTTGTTATGTTACATATTTATCAACCGTGGGTATCCGACGATGCGTTTCTGTCACATACCTATGTTGCTATAATGTTTCAATTTTTTATTTAGAGTGTACATCAAGTAGAAGCTTTTCGTACTTTAGAAAACAGCGTTGAATCTGAAACAATTTGTCCTGATAGCATCTAGATGTAAACAAAGTGGTTTTTTGTCTTCCATTAACTACAACTTCATGGATGATCAAAATGCAAATGGAAAAAAAGGGTTCAGCTATATAGCCAATGAGTACCCTTTCAAAAAGTGTAAAAACTTGAAAATAAGAAGCTTTCGGAAACAAAAAAATTATAGTCCATATCGAGGCTGTCCGAAATGGTTATCATCCGAATAAATGTAGTATTTACATATTTAACATTCAAGACATTTACTATATAATTCAAAATGATGTTAGAGCTATAAAAACTAAATCATCAATATATGTATATTACAGTCAGGTAATATACTATAATTATCTTAAAATAAATGACTAAAGGTTTGTCAAATATTTGGTTGTGATTAAGTAGGCAGCCATTACAGATGTGTTATGTATCACGTGGTACAAAATCAGAATGTTTGATTGGACGAGAAGTTACTGGAGTCTAGAATTAAAGTTTGATGTAAATAGCGAGTTACGGGTTTGTGGAATTGGAAATAAACATATTTATGTTAGTTCTACAACTACATAAGTATGTTCACTGTGAAGAGCTCACCGAGACGAAAAAAATGATATAAAAATCTCAATTTTGCCAAAAATCGAGTTACGGGGTTGTTGAATTAACCCGACGATGTAGCGAGAGTTTTTTTCTGAAAAATGTAACGTTGTCGTTGAATTTGCGACGAGTAACTCTGTCAGACTGCGGCTAATAGGTGTTCTGTATGTTTAATATGTTGTATTAATTAACCAAAAATTTGTTTGTTTTTCTCACCTAAGAACTTCACGAACACACTTCGTATAGAATTTTAAAATAAAATATCTTAAAATTCATTGTCTATTTTAATTATATTTGAGTACTTCTTGTTTGTGAATTGATTAATTGACAACTTATAACTAATTACAGAGCAAAAACAGAGTGCCTAGAGGTTTGGAACGTTTTTCCTCTTACAGTCGGCATGAAGGTCTCGTCTATGTTATTAAAACCTGTTTCATAACAATGCAGAATAACTGCTATAAGAAAATATCGAAAATATTCCGTCTCTTTCAGTTTCCTTCGATGTTGGTTCAAAAAAATAATGAACAACTGACATTTCGGAATTGAAATAAAAATGACCGTTCATGCCTTTATAAGTGATATACTATGATATGATACGGAACAGAAAAAAACTGTAAGAAAACAATTAACCCATTACTTCATGAGCATTTTGTGAAAAATGGCTGTTTTTTATTGAAAAGTCTCCCATTACAAGTTCAAATTGCTATAATACTATAAAAACTGCTTCAACACTAATCAAACTTGGCACAAATGTTGACTGGACCATTGCCCTTGCAACAACATGCTCAGGCTTAAATTTTCTGTTACCATGGCAACGAGGGGACATCTCAAAATTGCCAAAAATCACTATTTTGCGTTGATTTTTTCCATTATAATTGATTTCAAAGTGCTGCAACTTCTCAATGGATTGAGATAGAGTCAAATGCTTTTCAGCGTTGGTTACACGTTACTTTATGATCAATCTGGGGTCATTTATAGCCTCTCACAAGTCCAAAATTTTCTTGGCGATGAGGGGCACTCCGCCCCCCTTCAAACCCCCCAAACAGAAGGGGGCACATCCCCCTTCTGGCAACCCCCTGATGTATCTTTTGGTTGGGGGGCCGCGCCGAAAAAGTGGTCACTTTTTTTAACAACATTTCTCAAACAAAAACAAGAGTTAAAGGGCCTAAATAATGCATTTTTTCACCATTTGAGACAACAAAAAGGGGGGGGGGGGAAAAAGGCGTTAAAAGGCGTGTATATGAAGTAATGGGTTAAAGCTAATATCTAAAATAGTGACCACATGATTAGATGTCTTTGATAGTGAACTGAACATACTTAAATTATGGTTCTTCTTACTTTTAACTAACATTTGCACAAAGTACTCAGAGTTGAGTTTTTGTGATAGCAATGCTGACCGCCGTTTTTCACAGATTATTTTAACAAAATCTTCATAACCAGTTGTTAGATTTTTGTCAAAATTTCACAGGAATGATCTTAAGGTGGCCCTTTACAACAGAAGGACGGTGACTCCATTTTTTTATCAATTTGTTTCAATCATGTTTCTTGATACATAATTTATTTTAGTTCGATTGTGTTTAAAGCTATTAGCATATAAAAACAATTAGGAATCTGCTCCTAATACCTACTAGTCCTAGTACTAAGCAATGAGTGTGAAATTTGTTGCTCAGAGAACCACATCACTTAAATCTTACCGGCCAGCAATCCTTTAATTTCTAGTCCGGCGCGTCAACCGTACGCCTGATAGCGTAGATTTTTATAAGAAAACGCATTTTAATTAACTTCCCTCCAACATCTGTTTATCATTTTGCATTACCTCTAGGTTTTATGACGACTTTTCAGCTTTCCTGAGGCCCTACAAGTAAAGTTGAAAAGTCGCCATATGACCTTTTCAGTGTTGGTGCGACTAAAAACCCAACCAAAACAATAAATCAATGAAAATAGTTCTCTATAACAAAAAAGTCATGCGATAAGGGTCCAAAATTTGTCCAGGACATAGACATATAGGGAAACGCATTTTTTCTTTCAAAAATTTCAGGTTATTAGGCTTATTTGTATGATTGCTTAGTGACCTTTACAGCAAAACGTAGACAACTTATATCATTTATTCCGCTGGAATATAAAAAAAATGTCTCTGGGTCACTTGTTACGTTGAATTTTATAGGAAACGCAAAACGTTGACACTAGAATACAAATAGCTTCGGTATTTGGACTGTAACATCATCTTGTAGTCATCTATCTATATATTTAATTATGCCCCACCACACCAGCGTGGGGAGATGTATATGGTCCTTGTGGTCACTTAGTAAACAAATTTATATGTGAAAATAATCTGTATCCGTTTGTAATGAATCTTTGATATTTGGCCCATAGCATTGCAAAGTGGATTTCTATGAAAGTTTAACCAATCATAAGACCTAGGGTAACCAATGACTTATTTCTGCATTGAAGAAGTATGATCGTTTCTAGCTATGGACTCGGGTGAGCGATCTAAGGCCGTTAATTGTCTGTGTATAGATGCAAAATAGGATTACAAACGAAACAAACAAAAGATGCAAGTGGACGAGTATGCTTGATTCAATAGCTCTTGCTAATGCTTTGCGCTTTATTGGTGGTTGACATGGTTTTAGAAACTTCTCTTTACTTTAGTGTTGCTCAATATAAATCAGCGTAACAGCTTTTATGTTATGTATATGTTTCTTTTATGTTAAACATTATATTGTTAAAATCGCACAATATTACAGGTAGAAAATGACATCTAAACATACATGTATTCAAGCCTATTGTCTTCTATAATAATTATAAATATTTAAACATTCTGAGAGACAGATGGGAAATTGTTTACACATACACTTGATATTAATTTACTGTAATAATAAGAGCTTTTTAGAAAAGTGTAATAATCTTCCTAAGAGAACGGTAAAACTACTTCCATATTAGATGATACCTTTACTGAACAAATAAGTTTAAGTACACAGATTTGATAAAGTTTCGTTTATAGCGAAGAAAAAGAATAGAGGTATTGTTACAGTCATGGCGTCGTTGCCGTTGTCGCAAACTTGTACCTGGATCATAACTTTTTAAGGTTTTGGTGTATTGTCTTCATTCTTGGCCACAACAACCCTTGTGACAAGACCTTAAACTTCATTCATGCATGATCTTGACCTTCAAGGACAAATGTTTTAATGTTACTTGATTTTTGTTGTTTTTTTGTTTTTGTTTTTTTTTTTGCTTTTAGTGGCTATAATTTTGTCATTTTTGAATGGATTGTCTTCAAACTTCAACACAACAATCTTTTAGGATAGACATTTAAGTTAACCAGACACACCTTGACCTTATTATTGAAATTATTGAAATTTTCTTTTAATTTTCACGGATTTTTATCTAATTGACTGTAAACGGGGATTATCTTCATACTTGAAAAAAAATCTTTTTGACAAGACGTTTTAAAAGGTTGAATGCGCTGTGACTTTGACCTTAAATTGACATTGGCCGTCAGGTCAAATTAATGAAAATCTTCTTCTTTTTTTTCTTAACTGACTGTTGTTATTTATTAATGGATTAACTTCATATTTAGACACAACATATTTAAAGGCAGTGCTTTTTATGTTGATCAGACTCAAATTGACTTTGTCCCATGCATGACCTTGACCTTAAAGGTCAAATTATTAAATTTCCACTGATTATTACTATAATTGGCTTGGTAAATATTCAATGAATTATCTTCAAATTTGGACAAAACAACCTTTTGGACATTACCTTCTAAAGGATTGAACGGACCTTGACCTTGAGCTTTAAGTGACATTGACCGTCAAGGTCAAGTTATTGAATTTTGGTGAAGTTGACATAATTTTGTTATTTATTTACGGATTTGATTCATACATGGACAAAACAACACTTGTAATGGACATGTTGAATAATTATGATATGACCTTGACCTTTAAATGACTGCCCGTCAGATGATTGAATTTTGCTTAAAATTGTCTTAACTTTGTCAATGATTCATACTTGCACAAAATAAGTGTGACTAGACAAACCAATTACGATAAAAAGAGAAAAAAACTTTTAATTTTCCTTTTAAAGATTTGTTAAAAGCGTTTATTTGTTTGCGTTTAGAAAAAGTAAAATAGGTCGAGCGTTGCCCACGCGGCTCTTGTTTTTTCTTTTGTTAAAATTGTATAAGCGAATTTTTTTCAACTTATTATAAAATGCATGACTATATACATGTATTTCCTTTCTTAAAAAAGTGGTGGTATTTCTTTGTACTTATATATATATTATACCATCATTATAATGTTCAACGTAACTTTTGATTTGTCTATCTGGTTGAACTATTTTAATAATACATAAAAGTACATCTAAAATTATTGCCATTTTCATTATTTTTATTGTGAAAACATGTCGATAAAGCTGACATTTTACAGGTGGTCTAACGGCAGTGATATGGACAGATTTTATACAAACAATTATCATGGTTTTGGGGGCCATTACATTAATGATTCTAGGTAAGTTCAACGATCTATGCTGTTCACGAAATATTTAGTTTATCAAATCATGTTTATTGTATATTTAACATATGAACTTTAATTAAGACAATGTTTTATGTTGGTGAAAGATATTTGTTATATCACACATACATGTATTATAACCAGTGAATAAAACTACATTTATACAATTAAACATTTCATGATACAGGTTCGAAGTTATTGCAAATGTTTGAACAATCGTAAATTGTAGGACACGTGATGAAATAATTCATTTAACTTAAGATATTTATATTATTTACACAGCTTTTGTAAAAGTTGGCGGATTTCGTGGAATGGTTGAGAAATATCCTCTAGCAGTATCTAATTATTCGCGGGAAACTAACGACACGTGTAGTGCACCACGTGCAGATTACATGCACTTGTTCCGTGACCCAGTTAACGGAGATATCCCATGGCCAGGTTTGGTCGGAATAACAATAAACTCTATATGGTACTGGTGCTCAGATCAGGTAAATGTCATTCTTATAGATGTGTGAAGTTGGCGGCCCAGCGGCTATTGTGTTAAATTTAGACATAACCAGAACAGTAAATAGTATATACATATATAAAGTCTGGTCTCCATCCACAACAGTCTGGTCTCCCTGCACTCGCTGACCTCTCTGGCGGTATGTTCAGTCAAACATGAATTATAAAAAGACTGGAACAAAACTGAAATGTTTGAAAAACCTAGTCATTTTACATAATATGACAAAAGCATGAGTGTGAATATTAAAATAAATGTTTGTAAAAATATTTTTAAGTACATGTATTATTATCGTATAATACCTAATTGTGACATAAGACATTAAGAGGCGTGATATTTCATTTGTGCTCTTCTTGTAGTCTTAAAATACATGTACCTTAAAACACAAGAACAATATATTGCGTTAATATTTCATTTATTGGTATTATTTTTCATATATTATATAACAATCAGGCGCGTAGCTAGCCTATAAAGAATGTGGATTCAAAATAATGTAGGGGGGTTCAGGGGGCATGCCCCCCCCCCCCCTGAAAATTTTGAAATAAATGGTGCAATTTGGTGCGTTTTGGGGCCTCCGGAGAGCTTTCTTGACCAACGAAAATCCATTTATTTTAGCATAAAAATGGAGATGAATAGCTTTACTTTCGTTTATTTCAACTAGTCTACATTTCACAGCAAGTCTAACTTGCGGCCTTTGCTGGCCGCAAACTCGTTAATGATAATATCAATTTGTTTACATTTCGAAAATACGGCGCGTGCAAACTTCCGACTTTGAAGAGCTGCAAAGGCCGACAACTTTTCAAAAAAAAATACTACGGTATGGTGTACGATTTAGGCTATATGATTTATAAAGTATTCAGTGTGGTAATTATCAGATCTGGCGAACGCGGCTGAATTTCAAACCACATTTTTTTTTACTAAAAAAATTTTTTTGGTCAAAATAATGTGGATTCAGCTGCGTACTCGCGTATAGGCAGCTACGCGCCTGACAATAGTGCTTGAACGAACAACTAATGTTTCGATATTACATCAACTATTTCAGGTGATTGTACAGCGAGCTCTTGCCGGTAAAACTTACGACCATGCCAAAGCCGGTACAATCCTGTGTTCATACATCAAAATTTTACCACTCTTCATGCTCGTGTTTCCAGGAATGATTGCCCGCATTCTTTTCCCTGGTACCATTTTGATACTTTTCATATTGCATTTTTGTGTGCGTGTGTGTGTGCGTGCGCCTGTTTGTCTTAAAACTTTAATCTTAACCATTCCGTCTACAGCGATAAGCTCTACCTGCCAGGCCCACTTAAAAGTCAGAGTGTCAAAGATCAAAGTCACCACATCTGCAAAGTCACTAGAGAAATGGCTTCATTTGAACGTAGCACTTGTTTTCTAACTGACATCATACTGGTCTGTAATATTTATAAGTCATATTTTAACTACATTTGTACTGTAAATTAAAATGACAGACATGTATTGTCTACACAAGTACTGAATGTATACATACATAATTTTACATCATCAGTTTTGAAAGTTACACCTTTGATATGTTCTCATTAGTGTTTTAAAGCTTTAAACGCCTTAATTAAATGTGAAATGAAAGATTGTGTCTACATTCTGTTGTACTGTACTGTACTGTACTGTACTGTACTGTACTGAACTGTTGAAAAACGAGTATTTCCGCAGTTATAACTTATGATTATTATTGGAATCCTACCGGTTTTTAAGACGAACTTGTATATCTGCCCTTGTTTTGTATGTTAAAAAAATATAGTCTTGGAAAAAAGTTCTACGTTCTTCTTAATACCTCCATCAGCAGAACGGACAACATTAGGCATTATATTTCTTTTCACTGGTTACAATCTGGTCAAAAAGTTGGCTAAGTTAAGTTTTTTTTTAACCCTGCGATGTCCTTTTCTTCGAAAAATACAAAAATATCTAAATTAAAATTTTCAGAAACTGTTGGATGTGCTGACCCAGATATATGTATGGAAGTATGTGGATCACCTTCAGGATGTTCTAACGTTGCCTATCCCCAACTTGTCATTAACTTAATGCCTCCAGGTTAGTTCTTATTTGCCAGCCGTCATGACAGAATAGCTAATGTTGATAACGTTTCATTGAATCAATTACTTACCATACTTGTAAATTCAAACACACATTTCTGTCACATTGGAAGATAGTCAATCAGCATACGGAACATTAGCAATTCGGAATACATGTATCTACACCTATCAATGTACTAGAGATTCTCCCCATTGGTTAAGATAATTCCATGCAAAAGTGCAAATTGTAGGAAATTCTGCAAAATTGTTTTAAGTATCGACGCTCAACATTGACACTTGTTTTCTCTAACCTGTACTTTACAATTTCAGTGGTTTGTCGACTTTTTTTTGCAATCACTTGACAAATTTCTAACATAAATGTATAAATAATTAGGAGAATGTAGCATTTACATATGTAAAACAATTAACACTCCCCTTGATTTTATTTTTTTTACAAATAAACACACATTGGTAGTAGGTAAATTAATACGTTTGTTGTTGTTGTTGTTGTTATTGAAGGAGCCCGAGGTATGATGTTAGCGGTAATGTTGTCTGCTCTGATGTCATCACTGACGTCAATATTCAACAGCAGCAGTACAATATTTGCCATGGATATATGGACACATATACGATGTAAGGCTAGTGAACTAGAACTTATGATAGTTGGAAGGTGAGTCTTAATGTGAAAATAAAAATATATTTACTGTATATTGTCCATTATTAATTTATATAGATAGTTATACTACAAATTGAAGCAATAAAGTGTTGTTTCTTAAGAATGCATTAAACTATTTTAAGACTGCATTTATGTTTTTTTTAAAACACAACCTTTGGAAAGCCATTTAACAGTTATCCTGGCAAAGTAGGTTGTTTAAGGTTACTGATCTTGTAGCGTTTGCTCCTCACAGCAAGGAACATTGCATTATTAAATGTAAGGAAGCTGTCCAGCTTTCTTATGGAAGGTCGTTGGTTCAACTCTGGTGCCCGCTGGTGCCTTTTATAACATATTTGAGGCCACAAAAACTTATATGAACTTAATATTGTTGGTACTTCTTGAACAAAAAACAACAGAAAATAAACAAAAAAATCGCACACAAAACAACTTCTTGTCATGCCTATGTATAATAGCAACGAATAGCCGACAGACAAGAATGTATAAAACATTCGCTCTAGCTTTAAGAGAACTCCACTAAGATATTATTACCTAAAATAGAAAACAATTCACTCAAAAATTCTATAAATCGATTTTCTATTCATTTCGGACTATAGTTTTATTTATCTTTTTATATCTTTCTGTTTAAAATGCTACTGTTAATCTATGTAAGGTTTTCAAATATTTATGTTTTAAGCCTTTTGGCCCGTAACGGAGCTTCTTAAAACCACAGTAACGCTGACGTTCCAGTATTATTTGTATTAATTTTTCAGAGTGTTTGTAGTAGTGTTGGTAGTCATCAGTATTGTCTGGATCCCGGTATTACGTCATGCCAGTGCACAACTGTACGTTTATATACAAGAAGTCTCTAGTTTTTTACAGCCCCCTATATGCTGTATATTTCTACTGGCCATCTTCTGGCCGAGACTTAACGAGAAGGTAACAGTGATATTATACATTTATTGTATCTTTTCAATTTTCATTTACAGACCGCACACACAGCTGACTAGTTAAATTGGAAAAAATAAAAGTTAATCCATTTATAAACTTAAACATACGTTAATTTTATCACTTATTAATTTAATGATTGAAAGGACGTTTCACGTGGTATTTTATGTGGAGCGAATTGTCATTAATTTGAGGTAGATTGGTACTAAAACTTGGCGAATCGTCAGTTAAACTAGTTAGTTAAAAAAGACATAACAAGGTTTGCTACAGAATATTTAATGTAGGAGACGAAATAATGTCTTTAACGAAATGCCTCATTAGCAGATTGATTTGTACAGGTTTTGTGTATGTTTTGATTCGAATCTTGTCTGATACATTCATTTTTGAGGGAGAATCAGCTATCCCTCAAGCCTAAGAAATATCATTGGTTCTACCCAGGTGCGCGAGTCGTGGGTAGTGATTTTTTGAACACTAATGGAGACGGCAATACCAACGGCAATTAACAATTTTGCTAAATAATTTGATACCCTGTACAATTATTTGAAAATACCTATTAAAATATATGCAAAGAGCAATAATGCGGCATAATTATGTACATACATATTCTGAAGTTTCTGATTTCGTGCTTCAAACAGATTCAGTTGTGGATGATAATGGATGCTAAGCTACAACCTTTGATGTAAACTCGAAATAGAATGTTTGAAACTGATTCGTTGCAGAAATAATGATTTATACGTGAACATATCCAAATTCAGTAATACTAAAAATATTGCGTTACCTGTAAATGGCTACCGGGCTATTAACCGTGTATTAAAGACCACGTGACTGTCAACAGTTGTTATGTATTTCAGGGAGCATTCTTCGGTCTTGTAACAGGGATGCTTGTGGGAATAGCACGGTTTATAGGAGAGTATGCTTACGGTAAAGTTTCCTGTGGTGAAGATCCTACAAGTGTTCCAGCAATCATCAGAAACTTTCATTACCTTTATTTCTCCGTCTTCTTGTTTTTGTTGACTGGAATAGTGGCTGCACTCATCTCTTTGTGTACCAAACCTATAGACGAACGCTGTGTAAGTCAGTTCACATTTATTACCACCATATAGACGAACTTTTTTCACTAGTTGTAATCTTACTTTTTGTAGATTATTATACATATACTTACAACAACACGTGCTATGTGGCAGTTGTAGGCTGCCCCGTAGTCAGTGTAATCATATTTTTGGCACTTCGGGGTAATTGATGCCAATTCTTTCAGTGTTGATATGAAATCACTGAGTTTGGTATTTTTACATGACGGAATGGCAGTATTTTGATATAGGTAAATACTAACTACTAATGTGCAAATTTTACATCACTCGCTTAGATTGTTCAGCCCTGGTTAACATTTTCTGTGACGGTGTATTTTCTCGGAAACTATCGAACTTTCCATTTCAAACTTGATATGCATGTTCACTATCGAAATATTACAACATTTCAGAAGGGCAGATAACCCTAAAATTCATTTTTGCAAAGTTATGCCCCCTTTTGACCTATTTTTTTCTTCTACGGTCAATGTCTTAAAATCAGTCGAAGTTAATTACTTCAAACTTTTAGTACTTGTCCCATTTATAAATGTCCCATTCATTTCTTAAGGGAAGGTAACTTTATTATTTATTTTTCTCAATTATGCGCACTTTTTTACCTAATTTTTTCATGTACATTTCCAAAAATATATCAAAGATGTACACTTTACACTTTGAACTGCGAGTACGTTTTGAAATGCGTTTTTTAAGGGGCAGGTAATCCTGAAAGCCATTTTGCTTAATAATTTCCGCCTCTCTACGTTGATTTTATTCAACTTTCCAGCAGTGAGAAAAGTTGAGCACAGGTCTTGTTTAATTATACTACGCATCATGTGTACCAGTTTAACGGAGTATTTAAACATATCTTTTTAAAAGAAGCCATTGTGTTTTTTGTCTGATAAAAAACTATACAAGTAAGTTTTCTTTTATTAGCTATATAGGTTAACTTTTTGGAGCCGTCACAGTAAAGAACCTAGGATAAACATAGACACATGGTTGGCAGACGAACGTGTATCTAGCGGAACCGGAAGTGAGACGTCGGTACAGTCACAGGAACAAGAACTGAAAATGCTGAAATCAAATAAAGAAAACGGTAAATGAAAACGCGACAAAAAAGAGCTCGAGTATGGGTCAAATTGGTAAAAAAAATTGTCACATGACTCGAAAATAGAAAAAAATAATCTTGTTAACACTCTAAAGTCTATTTTTTTATTCCTAGTTCGTATATGGGTCATCTGAGGTCAACAACCCAAATATGGAAAAACCTTGTCAATACTCAAGGGGTAACATTTTAGCCCAAATATCATGGAAATTAGTCAGAAAGGTCGTCCGATTATATATTCTCAATTTATATATGTGTCATCTTGGTCAAAAACTTCGTCATAGAGACCGAATAAGGAAAATCTTTTGTTAACAATCTTGATGTACCATTTCAAGCCCAAGTATCCTAAGTTTATTTCGTTGATTTCTAGCTCAAGATCGAATATTGGTCATCTGCGGTCAAAAAGACTGTGTTTTGATTATTTCTAGGTCATGATTAATTATGGATCATTTGGGGGGAAAAAACTAGGTCACAGGCACCTTATATTAGAAAACCTTATAAAATATTTTGAGACTACAGTTTCATGTGTTTTGTCTAAGATCTATAAAGCTACCTTGTTTGGTATTTTAATCATCTCATTTTATGATACTTAATAATGCTTGTTATACTTTAGGTTATAATATATATAGCCTTTATTTATTGTCCGATGTCTTTTATTTGTAGTACAAACATACCTCAACTTTAGTCACTTAGATCAAGGACAAGGTTACGGGTGTTTATTTCATATCTTCATATTGAGGATGATTTTTTATCCCTCCCCCCCCCACGCCCCCCGAAGGGCGGTATATTAAAATCGCACCGTCCGTCCGTCTGTCTGTCTGTCTGTCTGTCCCAACTTCATTCGTGTCCGGACAATAACTTTGTCATACATGGACGGATTTTGAAATAGCTTGGCATAAATATCTACCACATCAAGACGATGGGTTGCGTCCAAGAACCACGTCCCTAACTTAAAGGTCAAGGTCACACTTAATTTTATTCACATTATCACAATAAGAGTTAATAGGTACACACATTCGTGTCCGGGCTGTAACTTTGTCATGCGTCAAAGGATTTTAGAATAATTTGGCATAAATGTCTACCACATCAAGACAATGTGTCGTGTCTATGAATTACGTCCCTACCTTAAAGGTCAATGACACACTGCCATTTTGAAGTTCACTTTATTACAATTAGAGTTTATATAGGTACACATATTTGTGTTCGGACTGTAACTTTGTCATGCATCGAAGGATTTTAGAATAATTTGGCATAAATGTCTACCACATCAAGACAATGTGTCGTGTCTATGAATTACGTCCCTACCTCAAAGGTCAAGGTCACAATGCCATTTTGAAGTTCACTTTATTACAATTAGAGTTTATATAGGTACACATATTTGTGTCCGGACTGTAACTTTGTCATGCATTAAAGGATTTTAAAATAACTAGGCATAAATGTCAACCACATCAAGACGACATGTCAAGTCCAAGACTCCTGTCCCTTACTTCAAGGTCAAGGTCACACTTCTAGTTTGAAGGTACTCCTCTCTCGAGAAGATACACATTCATGTCTGGACTGTAACTTTGTCTTACATGGAAGGTCTAGGTCACTCTGATAGTTTGAAGATACTTATAAGAAGAGTTTGAAGGTACTCATTAGTTTCCAAACTGTAATATTGTCATGCATTGTCATGCACTTTAAAATAACTTGGCATAAATGTCTACCACATCAAGGTGATGTGTCGCATCCAAGACCCTTGTCTCAAGGTGTTAAGTTTGCCATAAATAGCTCTTCATTTCACAAGAACAATATTAAGCAGTTAGTTACTTTCATTATCTTTTCTTTTCATAATACCTGCATGCTTAAGAAACCTTTTCGGGGGCATTCGTCACTTGCGTGACAGCTCTTGTTTCATAGTGTTCTTTAAAGGTTTACTGCGTAGTGGAACATGCCCTCTTGTCTATCAGCTCTTATTTGTATTTTACATATTCAATACTCATATGGCAAGGTCTTAATTTTAAAAACTAAAACAATTCTCTCGCGAAGGGCTTACAAATATTCATTCAAATCGCCAACAGTTTAAAGGATAATCATTTTGACGTAGATAATTCAAATGATACGTGGATACGGTTGTGGCCGAGTGATAATGGCCACTTTCGTCCAGGAGGATTATAACGTTACCAAAATGTCGGGTTAAAGATGAGTCCTGACACTGGGATCAGCATCTGGAAAAATTAGCATTAGAACTCTACATTGTATGACTTCAAACTTAACTAAAAATAAAAAGAATCTTGCTGCAATCAGCTACTGACAACTGATATTGAATATGAACTTTTACCATTTCAGGATCTGTGATAGCAGACGATACGACAGACACTCTGATAAAAGAAGAAAAAGAAACGGGATTAAATAAAGTTAATTTTGATCATACTAAAGACCCCGAGGTGCTTGAAGTTGTATTTACCAAGAAAGGTAAAACATGATTATTGTTAGCCCAAATAATTACCTTTAACGCTAGTAAATGTATCCAAGAAAAAAGTACCACTTTAAATGGAATATAATCATGTCAAGTTTTGAAACTTTTCATGGGCTTATCAATTAAATCAAAATTAATATAATATTAATAAATAAACAATGCCAGTATATATATATATATAACACATAGGTTTGAGGTCTCTATAGATGATGGCAATTTGTTGTTAACTAACATTTGTGTTATTTTATTACCCTGATCAAATTCTGCAATGATCTAATATCCTCATCTAGATCTAACAATATTAAATCAGCTCAACTCTCATTACCTTGCGCTGTTGAACTTGAGAGTTTACTTATTATTTGAGCATATGCTAGTTTTTGCCGATCATACGTTTAATTTAAATATCACAAATAAACTCACTGGTACAGTTTACTAGTTGTACATCAACTTTATACATTCCATCTTGACCATGCGAAACATGAAAATAAAGTTTTAAAAGGTCTGTCTCCACACGTCACGGTATTTGACTTTTAATTGTAGCAGTGAATTAATTTTATATCATGAAAGTTGTATATTACAGGACAAGTTACATGGTACCGACGTGTAGGTAACTGGATTTGTGGATTAGAAAACATGGAGCAAACCATTCATAAACAGGTATAACATACATTATAAATTATGTTCCATGACAAAAATACTTATTTTAAACAGTAAATTAAAGAGCCTGTATGTTCTGCAATCTTCCTTAAAATTCTGGTTTCCGACTTTGTATTTGTTCCTCGAGCTGGTTACCTGCCTTGTTATGGCTACAGTAAGGAAAGTGAAAAAATAAATTTGTCGATTATTAGCTAGTTTATATTTAAAAATGCCATACAGTGCCGTATAAGAGCAACACAGTATGAACTTACACTGACAGTTTTACTGTTTTTCCCAAATATTTGCATAATTTACCATAACTATATGTTCAGGTTTGTCTGTCTGTCATGTTCATATATTTAACATATTCGGCTTTAAATTACATGTACATGATTGTAAAATAACCATATAAAGAGATTTTGGTGAGCAAAATCTTACAATTGTTAAAGCCTTATAACAAGAAAGGTTTTAACATTGGAGCATTTAGTTCGGTAACTGTTCAAATGTTTTGTTTTTTTGTTAACAAATTATTAAAATCACGATTTTATGCTAAAAAATCAGAAATGGAAGACAAAAAAACAAAACAACACAGTATTGAATAACAATTACCTATATTTTTCCTTCAGGTAGAGCGTGATGATATGTTAAACGTGACTGAGAAGAGAAGATGGAAGGTTGTATCTAACATTAGTGCTGTTATAAGTATGATTCTGATGCTGTTTCTAGCTATATATTTCGCTTAAAGAGACTTACTACAACTAAAGCTATAAGGACCAAAACATGCATGAAGAATTCGCTTTTTACTATGTGGTTTGATATGTTTGAACTTTAATTAGCAAGAAATCAAAAATTAAAGCAGTCAAGACCCACTGGATAAAGGAGAAAGTAAAAAAATATTTTCGGTTCGGTACCTTGCCGTTTTAGTGAATAGACGTTGTTATGTGTTAAAAGTGTTTGGAGTGTTTAACATCAGAAAAATCATTTATATCTCTATGATTGATTTTAATATTTGAAAAATGTTGAAGAGTGAAGTGTCCTTTCAATGATGTAACTGAAGATATGATGACAGATATGGTTTCGAATTGGTTAAAATATGCATATTACACTTTCTGTTGATCTTTCCCTTTATTGATATAATTGTGATTTCCTGATTTTATCCAATATTTTAGAATGAAAGCATGTGCTTCTTTTTTATAGGCCTTTACTAACATGCATTAAATGTTAACATTTCGCAAGCAATAGCCATAGTGCTTGAATTGTTTCATTCTAAAACAGGCGTGGAAAAATTGTTTTCTACAAGGGTCATGTCGTATGTTTCCTCATATGACACCTTAAAGTGAATTGCTGCATGATGAATGGTCTGTTATACAATCATAATTATGTTGATTATATAGACGTGTAGTCACGTGTGACAATAACATAGATGTTCAGTCACGTGTGACAATAACATAGATGTTCAGTCACGGATGCTTGTGTGAGATAAACGACCGGTATATAGCAGATAATAAATAATTTGTTCCAGAGGAAAATATTGTAATTCATCTTATAAATAATTTATAAGAATATCTAAATGATACATTTCTATTGTTTTGTCAATAATTGAACTAATTCTGAGAAATGTTCATGCTCATTGTAGACAAATTCATTTTAAAAATGTATTTTATAAGATATCATATTTTTACATAAAACAGTGTTTGCATGTAGAGGCTGTAGCAGAAAACTTCGTTATCTGGTAACATAAGGCATTAAATCACATTATTTGTATTGATAGTGAGTTTTTTGTATTACATATACACTCCATTTTAATGATGTTATCAAAAATTAAAGCAGTCAAGACCCACTGGATAAAGGAGAAAGTAAAAAAATATTTTCGGTTCGGTACCTTGCCGTTTTAGTGAATAGACGTTGTTATGTGTTAAAAGTGTTTGGAGTGTTTAACTTCAGAAAAATCATTTATATCTCTATGATTGATTTTAATATTTGAAAAATGTTGAAGAGTGAAGTGTCCTTTCAATGATGTAACTGAAGATATGATGACAGATATGGTTTCGAATTGGTTAAAATATGCATATTACACTTTCTGTTGATCTTTCCCTTGATTGATATAATTGTGATTTCCTGATTTTATCCAATATTTTAGAATGAAAGCATGTGCTTCTTTTTTATAGGCCTTTACTAACATGCATTAAATGTTAACATTTCGCAAGCAATAGCCATAGTGCTTGAATTGTTTCATTCTAAAACAGGCGTGGAAAAATTGTTTTCTACAAGGGTCATGTCGTATGTTTCCTCATATGACACCTTAAAGTGAATTGCTGCATGATGAATGGTCTGTTATACAATCATAATTATGTTGATTATATAGACGTGTAGTCACGTGTGACAATAACATAGATGTTCAGTCACGTGTGACAATAACATAGATGTTCAGTCACGGATGCTTGTGTGAGATAAACGACCCGGTATATAGCAGATAATAAAAAATTTGTTCCAGAGGAAAATATTGTAATTCATCTTATAAATAATTTATAAGAATATCTAAATGATACATTTCTATTGTTTTGTCAATAATTGAACTAATTCTGAGAAATGTTCATGCTCATTGTAGACAAATTCATTTTAAAAATGTATTTTATAAGATATCATATTTTTACATAAAACAGTGTTTGCATGTAGAGGCTGTAGCAGAAAACTTCGTTATCTGGTAACATAAGGCATTAAATCACATTATTTGTATTGATAGTGAGTTTTTTGTATTACATATACACTCCATTTTAATGATGTTATAATAGACGGTGCATGTACAACATAAATTGTTTATCTATAATAGTTTCATTGTTCGAAACATGTTGATGATAAGTTACAATGATGGATAAATATTTATGTACATACATTAATATATATAGTGTTTACAATGTATAACTGTGTAATGTTCAAAACAAAACCAAGTTAGTCGAATCGTATCATTACATATAGAATGATTATGTAAGTCTCATAGCTGTAAACTAGTCAGTATTTATACCACTGCAGCTTTGTCATGTACAAGTGTTCGTTGATATATCATCTGTATATCATGTACAAGTGTTCGTTGATATATCATCTGTATGTCATGTACAAGTGTTTGTTTATATATCATTTGTATGTCACGTAAAAGTCTTTGTTGATATATCATCTGTATGTCATGTACAAGTGTTCGTTGATACATCATCTGTATGTCATGTACAAGTGTCCGTTGATATATCATTTGTATGTCACGTAAAAGTCTTTGTTGATATATCATCTGTATGTCACATACAAGTGTTTGTTGATATATCATCTGTATGTCATGTACAAGTGTCTGTTGATATATCATCTGTATGTCATGTACAAGTCTTCGTTGATATATCATCTGTATGTCATGTACAAGTGTTCGTTGATATATCATCTGTATGTCATGTACAATGGTTTGTTGATATATCATCTGTATGTCCGTATATGTCTTCGTTGATATATCATCTGTATGTCACGTACAAGTCTTCGTTGATATATCATCTGTATGTCATGTACAAGTGTTCGATGATAAATCATCTATATGTCACGTACAAGTGTTCGATGATATATCTTCTGTATGTCATGTACAAGTGTTCCATGATAAATCATCTATATGTCACGTACAAGTGTTCGATGCTATATCATTTGTATGTCACGTAAAAGTCTTCGTTGATATATCATCTGTATGTCACATACAAGTGTTTGTTGATATATCATCTGTATGTCATGTACAAGTGTCCGTTGATATATCATCTGTATGTCATGTACAAGTGTTCGTTGATATATCATCTGTATGTCACGTAAAAGTCTTCGTTGATATATCATCTGTATGTCACATACAAATGTTTGTTGATATATCATCTGTATGTCATGTACAAGTGTCCACTGATATATCATCTGTATGTCATGTACAAGTGTTCGTTAATATATCATCTGTATGTCATCTATAAACGTTCGTTGATATACCATATGTGTGTCATCTACAAGTCTTCGTTCATTTATATATTATCTGTATGTCATGTACAAGGGTTCGTTCATATATCATCTGTATGTCATGTACAAGTGTAAGATAATATATCATCTGTATGTCATGTACAAAGGTTCATTGATATATCATCTGTATGTCATGTACAAGGGTTCATTGATATATCATATGTTTGTCATGTACAAGGGTTCATTGATATATCATCTGTATGCCATGCACAAGTGTTTGTTGATATATCATATGTATGTCATGAACAAGGGTTCATTGATATATCATATGTTTGTCATGTACAAGGGTTCATTGATATATCATCTGTATGTCATGTACAAGGGTTCATTGAGATATCATCTGTATGTCTTGTACAAGTGTTTGATGATATATCATCTGTATGTCATGTACAAGTGTTTGATGATATATCATCTGTATGTCATGTACAAGGGTTCATTGAGATATCATCTGTATGTCATGTACAAGGGTTCATTGATATATCATCTGTATGTCATGCACTAGTGTTTGTTGATATATCATCTGTATGTCATGTACAATGGTTCATTGATATATCATCTGTATGTCATGCACTAGTGTTTGTTGATATATCATCTGTATGTCATGTACAATGGTTCATTGATATATCATCTGTATGTCATGCACTAGTGTTTGTTGATATATCATCTGTATGTCATGTACAATGGTTCATTGATATATCATCTGTATGTCATGCACTAGTGTTTGTTGATATATCATCTGTATGTCATGCACTAGTGTTTGTTGATATATCATCTGTATGTCATGTACAATGGTTCATTGATATATATCATCTGTATGTCATGCACTAGTGTTTTGTTTGATATATCATCTGTATGTCATGCACTAGTGTTTGTTGATATATCATCTGTATGTCATGTTACAATGGTTCATTGATATATCATCTGTATGTCATGCACTAGTGTTTTGTTGATATATCATCTGTATGTCATGCCTAGTGTTTTGTTGATATATCTCTGTATGTCATGCACTAGTGTTTGTTGATATAATCATTTGTATGCCATTGTATAACGTTCTTGAAGAAGAAAAAACTGGGGGGGGGCGATGCTTTGTTGTAAAAATAGTTGGCATTTACAAAATATTGTGTTCGTTTGTCCCATTGATAAATTTCATTCTTTAATAAAACATTAAAATATAAATACTGCTCAATAACTTGTCATTATTTGTTTTTAAAGAATTGTTGCATGCTTTTTTAATTGATTTTGATAAAGAGGTACATAACAATTAGCTAGTATTAGATTTTATCATGTTCCAGAGTATTAAAATGTTATTATTTTCTAGAAGAAGTTAATCTTTAACATACGGGTATATACTGTCTGCAAATTTAACTGTCACAAAATGTGTCTTAATAGTTTGCTAGTCATTTATAATGCTGCTTTAAATAATGTTATATATGAAATATACAATCAATTCTCGGTAAAAATAGGTTTGAAACATTTCTATCTGTCTCATTTAAAAAGCATTTTTGACAAGGTTAATATTTTTTATAAATGGTAGTTTAGAAAAACGCATATAGCATTTCTAAGGAAACATCATAGTTTATTCAATAATAATAATAATTTTAGATATACATATGTAATGTGTATTCTATTATATAATTATACAGTTCACTATTACAACTTAATGTGTACTATTATATACAGTATATTGTTCACTGTAAAAATTACACATGTATTGTGTACTATTCTATTATACCTGTTCATTATACATATGTAACTGTGTACTCTGTTATATATAAGATAAATGTATATTGTTCATTATTACGCATGGTAATGTGTACTATATTATATATATGTGTTAACACCGACATTGTGCTGACGCAACATACCAAAAATGAAAATAAGCTATCACATGACATGTTTTAGTCCTGGTTATTTTTCTGACCATTTTTACATGCAAACAAGTATAAAACTCGCTTGACAAGATTGTAAATCCATAAAATAAATGGCGGTTCACAAAATTTAAAATA